TGACAACTTAACCAAAACGAAGATGCAGTTTCATCTTTGGAAGATGAAGGGTCACCTCTCTAATGGCGGAGTGAGGAAGAAGAGTGAGTAATTGGAGAAAGCAAGGCGCTGCCATGGAAATTGGAAATTGCAAAAGCAAACTAGAAAATAAATATATATTTGTGAAAATATTATTTAAATTTAAAAAACAAAAAATATGGTCCCGGCGGGGCTCGAACCCGCGACCTTCGGCTCATAAGACCAACGCTCTAACCAACTGAGCTACGGGACCATGTTGATGTTAATRAAGACTCACGTAATTAATTAAATTTATAACAACAATAATAATACTAAATTACGAAAATCAATATGATAATAATTATACTAAAAAAATAGAAACTCGAAATTTAAAATCCCAATTTTGCGTAAATTAGCTATTAAACAAAGTCATAATACGTCATCTTTTAGTTTTTTTTTTTGTTTTTTTTTAAAAGTAGCATTTTAGTTTCTTTAGTGTATAGGCTATTAATCCATGCAATCATTAAGTATTATTGGTCATCACATAGCAAAACTAGATAACTTAAAAACGCATTCATAAATCCTAACGCGATCATGTGGAATGTAACATCGCGTTAGTCTCTTACATAGTCACTTACGTGATTCCCCTTACACAATACAATTCAATTGATGAATATAAAAGTACCAGAACAAAACGCAATTCAATTGAGCATTGAGCACAATAAGTGAAGTTTGAGAGACATGAAGAGTGCAGGAAAGACAAAATTGTTTGGAGAATTTTTTTTCTTTTCGGAGCAGATGGAAAAAATGAAAAACAAGCACACAGTCGATAAGTTATGTTCTTGTCTTTGCGTGCCCAACACATGTGGTAAAATATAAGCATCACATAACCAATCTTATAACCAGCACCACAATAAGGCTAATGATTACGTTTTGTAAGAGGCATTACATGATTGCGTGGATTAGCAATGCAATGTTACATTACACGTGGATACGTTAGGGTTTATGATAATCATGTTCCTTAGTTATTTTATTTTCTAGGCAATGGCCATAATGTAGGGTGCATATCCATATAATGGAGGATCTATTTCAACTTATATATGCCACGTCAGGATCCAATCATAGTTTTTGTGAGATACCCAACAGCAGTGTCAATTATTTGATCATTTAATTTTTTTTTTCTTTTTGCAAGAGTAATCTTTTAGATCTATCTGTATTCTCATTTACGTTTCTTATTTTTAGACGATTTGACACATTTGTATTTATAAAAGTGCATTTTTATGTTTGCAGTGTTTTATGATTTTAAATTTGAAACTTTAAAATGTATAATTACGTTAAAAATATATAAAAATTTTGATAAATATATTATTTTATATTTTTGTTTTTAGAAAATATACTATTTCATGATATAAACTCATTTTAATTTTACTAAACAAAAACATGTAAAATATAATAAATTGTAAATTGTAAAATATTAATTATAATATTTTGTACCATATAATATATATTATTAATATAATTAATAATATTGTAGATTTAACAAAATATATATTTTTGAAAAAAAAAGTCAACTAAATATTTAGTGGGTAGCTATAGTATTTTTATTGCTTACAAATATATTACTAAATAAATTGGAAAAATTTTATAAATTGTGATTCAATTTTCAATCTACCACCGTTCAAGAATGTTAAAAACATAAAATACAACCTTTTTTTTAATTACCTAATTTCATATTTTTATTTTTAGATCATCAAACAAATGCACTCATTTAATATATAAAATACTATCCTTTGTCGATATGATTAAATAAAATTTAACACAAGCAAATTTATTGTTCTTAGTTACTCTTTTGGATTTAACCTTAATTCACTATTACAAAATCAGATTTTAATGAGGGGCATGACCTGTCATTAAAAGAAAACGATGTCAGACTTGTTTCAAGTGTTACTGTAAGTTTTTATGTTTGGCAGTAATTAATGACTGGCGTAGCCCGTCGTTGTAGGCAACATTGAAACTTATAAATTTTTTATTTTATTTTACCACTTTTTTTTTCACTTTGCCCGTCATTATTTCCTCCAATTTTTTTTATCCGACATTAAAATCTAGATTCGTTGAGTGGTTTTTTATTTAATACATTTATCTCTGCAAGTTTCATTAGACGGTTTCCATTATCTCTATCATTTAATTAAAGTTTACCAATGTCTTTACAATGAATGAGAAATAACAAAAGAAAAACTTAAAAGTTACTTATATGTGATTGGACTATCAAAGGAGTCGCAAAAATTCACAAACGTAATCCTATTCCCTTCGACTCTTCAATCAAATTAATATTTTAAAATTTTATATGAATTCACATTTTTCAACCAACAAGACCTGCTATAATATCACATCACAAAATTTATTTGTCTCATCTATACGAGGTTAGAGTGGTAAGTTTCTCTCCCCTTCATTTGTAGTTTTCATCTCTTACTTCCTTCCTAAATTTTCAGAACTGAAATGTTTTATATACAAAACTTAACACGTAAAATTTTGTCCCTTCCTATTAAATTTTTTTGCTCCAGCTCTACACTGTAACGAACAATGTTCGATATTATGTTGCTCTCTTTGATTTAGCAAACAACTGAGTGTCTTTCGCTCCTTAGTCTATTGTCCATCATTATCCACTCGGTTATAGGAATCTAAATTTGTTGAATCACTTGTGTTATCTATAGCTTTCTTATAATTTTTAATTAAGAACAATAATAAGAGAATTGAAGTTTGAGTTAAAAGTATTCAAGCTATTAAAGATGCATTCTTATGATACTAATGAGATTGTTATGTCACGAAAGCTCTATTGAGTTGAACATATATGTAATATAGAAGTAAATGTATTTTTGTTTCAACAAAATGAATTAAGCATATTATAGGTATTGGGTCCCTTTGGAAAAGGTATGGGCTTTTTCTAATTGGCACAAAAAAGGGAGATTTCAAGTTTCAATCATTTTGATATCATCAACTCACCTCTCTTTGTTATTGGTTTGGTTATTGTCATTTTGTTAAACATTCCACATTTGATTTTTTTAGTAATGAATTGGGCTACTTTTGATGTTTTTTTTAGTTTGATTAGGGTTAAATATTTGTTTAACTAAGGGTAAAAGTAATAATTCAAATAACCAATAATATCAAACATTGATTCACCATTAGTTTATCATAATTATGTCGAATCGTCCAATTAGAAAGTTCGAAACACCCCACCAACGCGAACCTAAGTATAGTGGTTAATACATGTATCTTCTATCAAAAAGTCAGAACTGGTGCAAATTCCCACTAATCCTACAAAGTAGCATTGCCTACTTAGGCAGCTGAAAGTTTAAGGGCACGTAGAAAACTAAATAAATCGAGAAACCAAACTATATTGAGTTGAACCACCCAGTTTAGTATGCTTTTTTAAATACATTTGGGTGTGCTCGATTTCCTTTTGGTTCGATTTGGTTTAAAAAAATGAATTGAACCACATACTATACCCAAACAAAAAAATCATGTCAAATCTAACCCTCATTGGTTCGAGCTCAACCAACCCCACCCAAGCGCCATACATCCCTCTCTAAACTTATGTCTTCTTAAATCCAATTATCAAGCAGTTGATTTGCTATTAAAAACATCTGATAAGTGTCAACTCAAGCATAGTTCAACTGGTTAAGATACCTATTTCCGACCAAAAATGTTATGAGTTCGAATTCCCATCCCCACTTATTGTATTAGAAAAACTAATAAATTTGTATGATTTAATCTTTTTTTAGTACAACAAATGAGTGGAGAGATTCGAACTCATATGCTCTCGTCAAATTCTCTATTGATTTCACATTGACCCAGCCAACTTTCGTCCACTTGCACCCAATCTAAACACACCATCTAGAACATTAGTAACCTACTCCAAAAAACAAAAAAATAAAAATAAAAACTGAAAAAGGAATGCAAAGAAGGAAAATGAAGTATTTATAACATAATTTGGCAAGTGATATTGGAAAGTTCTTCCAATTTAGAATTCCAAGTTGTAACCATAATTTGAGAGAGAGGAACACAGGGAGAAATTTCAGGGTCTAGAAAGGAAGTGGATGAGTAGACCGAGGATTTGGGCGGGAAAAAAGTGTCAAGATTATTCATTTATAGAGCTTTTAGATTTGCCCGATTTAACTTCCCTGAAAACATGTTAATGGCTTCCTCCCACTTTTTTCGAATTCGATTTCCTCCCAGACAAAACCCAACTGGATCGAGACAAATCCGATACTTCTTCCACACACTACTCTCTCTCTTGCCTTCCCCCCGGTAAGTTCCTGTTCTTCCCTCTTTCGATTCCATTTCTGCGATTTAACTTTTCAATTTCAATCACCATCAACTTCGCTCCCACAACTTCATGAACTCAGCGATTCACAAATGTACGGTACATCACTGGTTTTCTAGCTACTGAAATGTCCAGAAATAGAGCCCTATCTCGTGTTTGTCCATGTCTGAATTCAGGGTTTGTCTCGAATTTTATGGAGTGATAATATTTGGTGGGTGAAGAATTAGATGGAAGATAGGCGAGAATGGCGCATGATGAAGATCAAGCTCATAATAGTGCTGTAGGTGATGGGAGTTTAGGGTTTGGTGTTATTGGTGGCGGTAATGGAAAATATTCTAATAGGAAGTCGAAACAAAGGAGAGCTCCACAGAGAGGGCTGGGTGTGGCACAACTTGAGAAAATCAGGCTAGAAGAACAGCAAAAGAAGAATGCACCTGCAATTTTTTCACCTCCTTCTTCTTTATCGTCTGCCAAAACCTCCTGTAAGCTGTCTGTATCAGCTCCAAATTTGCATCCCATGAAGCAATCTTCCAGTTCTGTTCCACTTACCTCTGCATCTCCAGCCAGTTTTTCTCCATCAAATTTTGTTTTCAGGTCGCCTTTGACTAGCCGCAATATTGATGATCCAAACATGGGCAATTGCAGTCCAGTGGTTAGGTTGAATAATGGTGGTTTTGAGACTGAATGGTCAGATATGCCAGTACTTGGGCAAAGAGAGGTCCATAAACCATGGAATCCCCTCGACTTCAATCTTCAAAAGGACGATTCAGTCTTTGATTCCAACTTGGCATTTCGATCCAATTTTGGTTTGCCCAATGAATCCAACCTTGAATGGCCTTCCTCAGGGCAACATCAGCTATCTTCCTCTGCAGGGGTAATTATGCACCTTTGATTTGTTTGCTTTACGGAATCCCATTTGAATTCTGTACTATAGGACTGAATAAATTATGGACTTTCATAACTAATCTTCATGGATATTTTGGTGAAATTTGCAGGTGGATGTTTCGTCGATGTCCCTGCTAAACTTCCTTACAGAGCCCCCTTCAAACCAAAGCTATTATGGCAACTGCACTCCAGTCTGGCCAGAGGTAGAAGGCTTATATAATTAGATTCATAAATGATTATGTTGACTCTGATAAATCAAGGTCCTATTTCCAGATGGAACTCATTCAACACGAACATATCAATGTCATAGCACTTACAAATTGTAGGGGATTTTTACTATTGGTATAAAATTTTGAAGATTTTTAGTCTTCAAGTAGTTCCTTCTAATTGAACTGTGGAAAATTTTGAATTTCGTGCTTCAAAAATTCACTTATGCATACTATACTAGCAAGTACTTTTTGCATTTTGAATGAGAATGCATTGCCCCGTACCACCCGAGACACGGTGAGTCGGTGACTAACTGAACTGTCTATTCATATGTGGTGTAGAGGCTTGGCATGAAGAGACCATATTCCTTTTTCATGGACAACCCAGCTGGCCCTTCTTTCAACTGCAGACCTCCTATGGCTGCTCCTATGAGATCAGATGAATCCGCTTCATGTAGTAACATCTGCCTCTATAGCTATCCATTTCTCGGGTTTGTCAAATGTTCATCTTGTTTTCCTTTAACACTTGTAATTGTGAGATGAGCTTAGAGGAGTCTAAATCTTGTCTTTTACTATTCAGAGAAGGCCCATCTTGCTCGTCTTCATCCTCAGAACCAAATTCAAAGAAAAACATGAAAGGAAATGCTTTCAAAGGAGATATGCTCACACTATCCACTCCAGCAACCATGTGGATGTGCCAAAGCTCAAAACTCAAGCACCTTTCAGTTCATGCTGTGGATAGTAACCACGAGTTTGCAGATATCGTATCGCTACCTCTTCAAGTACGACAAACAGCTAAAAAGATCAACATTTCCAATCATTAATACACCGAGTTGGTGTTTCTTTGTGCATTCTGATAATTCTTTCTGTTTACATTGATTTGTTGAAGGGAGGCATAGAGATCCCGACCTGTCCCCATCCTGAACCGAGTTGGTCTAATCGACTTCAGCCATACTACCGCTTTTTCCCGCCACTAACCGCACAAAGTGGCCAGGCATCTCCCAAAACTTTGGGCAGATTCAATGTTGAAGATGGAAGTGTCGATCTTAATCTGAAATTATAATCACCACAGTTTGTACCTGTTGCTTTTGGAACCTTTTTGCAGAGTAGTCAATATGTTTAAGATCATGCAAGGGTATGTTAAAGTTTCCTTCTCTATTCGGATATACTCATTGAGTCTACATTTATGATTTAACAAAATTAGCATGCACGAGGTATTAAAGCAAACAAGTAGTAAATTTTGAACAAACTGAGATAGAATCAAGTTGGGGAAATTATTTTTTATCTCAAGGCATAACAAACTTACTGAATCTAAACCTATGGTAAATTTTGATTTGTAAGGAATTAGAACTTAATAGAATTCACCTTCATAGTTAACACTTGACAACATATTAGAAATAAATCCAAACAGGTAGCAAATTAAATTAAGTTTATAATTTGGACATCATCATCTCTTCCTAATAGATTTACTGCTTGTTCATCAGACTTAACGTCAATTCATATATTGTTCACTTTGTGAAGTTGGAAAAATGATAATGTTTCAGTATGATTCCTGTCACGATTAGCTGAGAATTTTGACTCTTAATTTTTTCTTTTTGATATCTTACATATTGTTGCAAGTTTTATGATCAAACTGCTTGATATGCTCCCAAATTTAATTTCTCGTTTGCATCGTCTTTTATATTATTATATATATTCTCGAGTATTCGGTATCTGTTGTAATTTCTAAAAGCTTTGAAGTATTAAACAAATAAATAACAATTTCATGAAATTCTGTAAAACCATATTCATTTCAGTTTCCATCATTGTAACTTACAAGAAAACGATTAAGAAGCAAAGAACATAATCAATTAGACTTCTTTACAATAATAATAATAAAATATATTGATATCTGTAGTGTATGAGCCAACTCCTAAACTTCTAAACTTTTTCTTTTATCTTCAAAGATATAAAATACATGTCACGAAAGTAATCTATAAACAGAAACAAATGAGGAAATACAGGTAAATGACCAAACATATCATGGGATATAAGTAATAACGTCCGATTCAAGACTAATCAAAGAGGGTTGTACTTTCTTTTAAATGGAATCATTTGACGATATTGAAGATGTATTTTCTTATCAGGAAGGGGTCAATAAAAGCGGGACTATTTTCATTTCTAATAAATTGTTGTTGGGGTTGAGGGAGGAGAGGCACGAAATCAGGACGTTGGGGATCTCCTCGGGCTATAAACAGGCCACAGCCATAGCAGCAAAAAGCACATTCTTTCTTGTGTGGTCACTTATTCATCATTTTATTCCTATATACACTTTGGATGGAGCCCTTTTTCATGAAATCCACGATCTCCATCCAATATATATTTACCCAATTTGTCTTCCGTTTCCAGCCTCAGTTTTTACCTTCTTTGGATCAGTGTCTCTAGTTTCTTTGTTCGTAAAATGAGATTTCAGTCCTATCCAGCATCGGTAATAGTCGCGATCCATGAATGGAGACTCGAGAGCCCAAGCGCATACGCGAGGGATCAGACTCGATTCAAACATAAATGCCATCGTGTCGGTGATTCTATATGGTCCAGCCTCATTCCCTCGAGCAATTGTAGCCTGAATCAAGAGAACATTTACCAGATCATTGACTTTTCACCAAAACATAAATGTTGGATTTGACTAAAACTAAAACCATGAACAGTTTTAAGAATGAGGTGACCAATTTTGTAGCTTGCCAAGTAAAGAAAGTTCATCGCTATTTATAGAATTGAAAAAGATGAACCAAACACAAACATCTAATTTCACGAATCATACCAATTATAGAAGAAAAACAATACTTCTACGGTTCATACCTTCAACTTCAAAAACATGCGATATTTTTCTATGGGAGGTTGAATTTGTAATAAAAAATTCCTACCAAGGAAAATTGTATGGTAGAAAGTTTGAATGTTGTGAAAATTGAATGAACTATGGAACTTATAAGAAGCAATGCATACCTCATATGTTTTTGTATCAGGACCATGGGGAGTCATGCAATTATGAAGGCTGGCACCGCCAGGAAGGAACCCATCAGCTTTTGCCTGAAAAATGGATCAGAAATTCTGAAGATCTTGATAGGGGAAAAAAAACTCAGCTATAAAAAGAAAAATAACCCTTGATATCTAGAACCAGAACCATCACAAGTAGTATCATATAAAGGGGAGTCAGATCCAATATTCTGCTAAAAACAACATTTTAATTAAGGTAACAGGCAAAGAGAGACTTTTAAGAGCATCTAAGATACTAATCCGAAATTAGAATAGAATGAAAATCAAAGTAGGGTAATAATAAAGCGAGCAACTTCTCTTTCTTCTCTAAACATTTAGGTCCAACCTCATTATCTAAAACGAAATTGCGAAATTTACCTCGTAGCCACCATAAATCAGACCCATGAACTCACTCATGCAATTGCGATGGTAATATGGAGGACGGAATGTGTGTTCAGCAACAAGCCATCTTGGAGGGAAAATGACAAAGTCGAGTAATGCTACTCCAGGTTTATCAGTTGGTGCTGTTAACACTGCAACAGGGCAGCAGTATGATAATTCAAACAGTTGAATAAACAGTTGAAATTCAAGAAAAGATCAAGGATTTTAAAGCAGTAAAATTCAATGGAGAACGTTTAAGCAAAATGAATGAAGGAATTAATATATACGTACCTGTATTTATCGATGGATCACCGTGATCAAACAACACAGTATTGTAAGGACAGAACTTACTAAGATCGTACTGCAAGGAGAAGGATCAACTTTCAGGTCTATTGAGGTGGGATCAGCACTTAACATTAATCTATAATATTACATAAACAGCTAAAAGCCTGTAAGAAAGTATAGGCAGAAGCCTATTTCTAGAATTTCACAAGAAGAAACAAGAGTGAAGCCTAGCTGCTACAGCATAAGTGACCCACCTTATAGGGAACATAACTACCATGCCAAGCAACTACATTAAAGGGAGAAAAGTCCTGTATTGCAGTAAACAGTTCCCCGCCAAACTTTTGAACAATTGTATAACCAGAACGAAAACTCTTTTCGAACCAGGCTACAGGGGCAAGGAAATCCTTTGGTGCAGCAAGCCCATTTGCACCTACATGCCAATAAAATTTACCCCTCAATGCTGACATTAGGTGAAAATGCAAACTGAACAACCACTTCCTACGTTTGGGGAAAAAAGGAAGAAAGGAATATGGTCAAAACCTTAATTACTTGCTGTCAAGAAGATAACAAGAGGTTAGATACCTATTGGTCCAAGATCAGGAAGCTGAAAATGACTACCAAAAATCTCAGCTATGTAGCCACGTGATGGCCCATCGGGTAGATGAACAACAAAGCGAAAACCTTGAGGTAAAACCACTATTTCACCTGGAGAAACTTCCAGCCTTCCACACTCTGTAATAATCCACAGCCCTACAGGATAAGAGTACTCTAAGAGATTAATCCTGATATCTTATAAAACAATAACATAATTCCGTTCGGATTAGAGACTTTCAGAGCTCAATGACAAGATAATGCAAAGACAGTTCTACGATTATGTCGCCAAAAGTTGAACTATAAAAAGGATCAACCAATTACCCTCAAACATCTCTTTCACCAAATGGAATCAGCTTTACATAACGCACTCAATGTACATACTATGAACCTAAAAGGAACCATATTTTCCAAATCTAAAATAATAATAATAGAATCAGCTTCAACCCCAAGACCACGATGTTCATAATTTTCAATGAAAAATAATTTGCAGTAGTAACTCACTTCCACTCTGAGGGACTATCAAGAAGTCGCCGTCAGCATTACAGAACGCACAGTTCTCCATCGACTTATTGGCTGTGTACCTATGGAAATGGTCAATCCTGTTTCAGTCATAGCATTCAACCAAGTACCAGTGTAAAAATCATCTTTATTTGCTTTCTTCCCAAACTAATGCTGAAAAATAGTATCCAGAATATCATTTTTTGGGTGTTTTAAGTTTTCTGTTAGTAAGGAACAAACCCCGTTGAAATTGAAGAGAGTCAAACTCTCAGGCACATCACATCTAATCTGACAAAATAAATTACCCCACCAAGAAATTTGACAAACAAAACTTCCCCCACAAAATTTACTGATTGTCGGAAAAAGTACCAAGCTAAAAAGGCAGTGAAAAGGTAAAAGGAATACTGAATTACATGTGAACAGCAAACCCATGCCGAAGAAACGAACTGCCGGCTCCACAGACAGTGTACAGTCCATCAACGAAATCTACCGGCGAATCAGGAAAATCCGCCGGTTTCCACCTGAGCTGAGTCGGAGTCGAGGAACAACTCGAATCATTAAATTCACTGATCAACTTCTGGTTCTTAGGCAAGCGTGGCTTAAACGGTTCATGCGTGACCGAGGGCTTTATCCGATACAGCCAACTGCGCAACAAGACAGAAATGCTCACACAACAAAGACGACGAAACTAGAAAAATCCATACCGATTACGCGAGAAGATGAAGGAGGAGAACCTGCGCAAGTTTGCTTTTCGAGGCGAGGTGAATGAAGTGCCGGAGATCTGCTCAGCATAGAGGCCGTAGGGGCAGATGAGAGGACTATTTTGGGATTCAGGAAGAGCGCCGGGAATCGCCTCCGACGAGAAATGATTGTTGAAGCCGGACTGGTAGGCGAGGTCGGAAGGGAAATCTCTGCCGTCCGATTCGTTGACCGATTGAGCAGCCATTGGAGATGACGACGAAGATCGATTGCAGAGATTTGGCGGCGCCGGAGAACTGGCGGCGGTCCCGGTCGTCGGAAAGTTTCCCCACGTAACTGAATTCACGATCAAAACCAGTACGTCATATAGCGTTTGGGGAGCTCACCATCGCCGTAAAGAAAAATAGAGATGAACTCAGAACTTGATGGTGACATTTTGACGAAATTGGGAAACAGTTTAATTATCCTCTAATCCCCCAATTAAAGTTTTAATTTCTTTTTTTTTTTGATAGGTTTCTAAAGTTGTTTATGCATCTATTAGTTCCCATTATAAAGTTTATAAAAGTGAATTTTATGTCAAAGTTCACCTCTTTAGCACGTAAATACTCGACCGATCTCATCCACTTAAAAATTCACACGTAAAACTTGGTAATTCGACCTTTTAATAAACTCGTTGGTTCTATAATTCTAGAATAAAATTCCATGATTTTAAAATAGTGTCGGGTCAAGGAGAATATCGTTGATATATTCACTTTAACTATGTATGTATTGATCCCTATAATTAAATTTAGTGTTGATTTTATTTATTTAGTCTCCATAGTTTAAAATTTTTCCATTACATCTCTTTATACTTTTAGTTTGAATTTTAATAAGTCTCCGTTGTTTAAATGTTGGTGTAGCATAGTGATATTATAATTATAATAAATGATAATTTGATACGACCATAAAAAAGATAAGTGTTGGTGGTGAGAAATTGAGTTCAATACGCGTCAAACAAGCTCAGCTCGGCTAAGGAAGATTATACCAAGCTGAACAGATCCAATCTGAGGAATCCAACCTCGAGGCATGCCATCGACCTGGGGGGCCCGACAGCAATAACCGCCAGTCGTAACCACTCAACAACCCTGTTTGCTCCCGCCTGCCTATAAAAAGGGACACTCCGCCCAACCGAGAGGTACGCAGTATTCACCGAAAACGACTTGAATATACTGAGCTCGTCTTTGACTTGGGTGTCGGAGTGTTTGTTTCCTGTGCAGGTTCTCAAGTGAATATATTGGCACTCGTCCTCGTCACCTCGGTTCCGACCCGCAAGTTCAGTTCGAAATTTTACATCAACAGTAAGGACAAAGATGTAGTTGAAAATTATATTTGAAAGTGATAAGAATCTAATCGGATAAAACATAATCTAAAAATAATAATAATGTAATTCAATACAAGCATTTAAAATGATGTTTGAATGATAAAGAATATTATGCATATTATCATATTGAAAATCCAATTTTTATTCTTAAATATAGCAAGGCTAATCACTTTTATCCTAAACTTCTAGGTTTATTAAATTGACCTTTAAAATTTGATATATACGTGCCAAATTAATCTTATATATTAGGATTTTTTTTTTTAACGTTCACCCCCAATTTAAATCATATAGTATTGTCTTTCTCTGAAAATATATAATTTTCTTACTAGATTTTTAGGTGTACACGAATTTTTTGTCTAGGACAATAACTTTGGCCATTTGGAAGCTATATTACATAGGAAGAGATAAAGAACAACTAGCTACTCACTTTATTTTTATTAGCTCTTGCTCGTATTTTGAGGGTCTAATTCATGAAGTTGAAAATTTATGATACAAATTTGTAAGAAATATCTATTGGTATTTGTATCCTTGGATTATTAGTCAATTTGAACATATTACTCAACTAATAAAAATAATTGTACAATATATATGAATAAGGTCCAGATTTAAATCTACAATCCTATGATTTTGAAACTATATAAAACAATTATTAGAGGGCAAATACATTAAATAATGGGTTAAAATGCTATTTTGGTCCCTATACTTTGAACTTTGATTCATTTTGGTTCCTATACTTTAAAAATGTTCATTTTTGTTCATGTATTTTGAGTTTTGGCTCATTTTAATATCCGTCCTTTTGAAATATTCATTTTGATTACTGTACTTTTAAAAGGAAACCATTTTGTCTCCTTAATTTTATTTTTGTCTCATTTTTTCTTCCTTATTTTCAAAACGACACTACAAGCAAAATATTTATTGAAATGTAACAATTATTTTATATTAAAGGTCAAAGGGTTTTCGTTATATATATAATTAATTTTAAATGTTTTCAAATAGAGACAAAATTGTAAATTTTTAAAATTACAAGAACTAAAATGAACCAAAATTGAAAGTACATGAGTCAAAATGAATATTTTGAAAATATAAGGATCAAAATGAATAAAAATTTAAAAGTATTGGTAAAAAATAATATTTTAATCTAAATATATTTTTTTTTTTCAAAAGACTCCTTATTTTGCTCTAAAAATCTCCGAACAACGTGATAAAGAATTAGCTTTAAAAAATTTAAAAGATTTTTTTTTTTTGTTGGATAAGGACGAAGATGTAGTATAAAATTATGACATAAAAAATTAAAAATTTTAAAAGAATTAGGACATTAAAATATATGTCCTTGAGTTTAGTGTATAAATTTGAGAACAAAATATATTTTGCGACCTAAATCATTGTGGGATAGTAAAATATGTACTTTTAAAAGCATAGGTTAAAATTATGGTCGCCGCTCACTTAGAATTTAATATCTTACGAGTTATTTAGGCAACCAAATATAGTATTATTAGGTAGTTGTCCCGTGAAATTAGTCGAGATGCATGCAAGCTATCCGAACACCCACAGATATCAAAAAAGAAATAAAAATAAAAATGTTAATTTTTTTTTCAAATACAACATAAATTTTACTTTTCTTAGTATGCTATTTTGAAAAAAAAAATTAAACTTTATACTTTGAAAATACATATCTATTTTATGCTATTTTTTAAATCTTTCGACACAATTGGATGGCAACCCATAAATTTTAACGTTTTTATAAATGACTTAATTGAAATGGAGTAAATTTAAGAATTTTAAAATATTGGATCACCTCCTTAAAGAATACATCTTAGATATTTAGTTGTATATTTGAATCTCTATTCTCCTATATGTTATTGTACTTTAACTTTTTTTTTAACATTAAATACTTTTTTTCTACGATCTTTCAATATATTCACGAGTTTTCGATTAAAAAACGTTAATTACGAAAATGAGATATTTAGTTGTATGTTCGAATCTCTACTCTATATGTTATTGTACTTTAACTTTTTTTAAACATTAAATATTTTTTTTCTACTCTGAGAAAAATCTAAGGAGTCCTTTTACTCTAAGGAATCTTAAATGTCAAACATCTTCAAATTTTAGATACAGACATCTTTAAATATTTATTTCGTAGATTTTTTTTTTTTTTGAATAATGATATTGAAAATATTTGAATATCTATATGGTTTTCCTCCTCAATATCTCCAATTCAAAATACAAAATCGATGGGCCCATCAGTCGAACCCGTTCGGTTTTGGTCGGTTCCTAAACCGAACCGACCGATTAAACTTGTCGTCAAAGTTGTGGTTTCTGGAAAACAAGAGAGAGTTGAGCCTATGCCTGTCCTCTCTACCACTTCCTATTTTGCAGGATAACTGAGGCAGACTGCAAGAAGAATGGAGCCGGAAAAAATGGCAGACGATCATGTCGTGGAAGCCGAATACGGTTTCAACAAACCCAGAAATCGGAAAAGAAAGGCTGATATGGTAGCCGACGGTACTAGTGATGGCCGGCGAGCAACGCTAATGAAAAGAATGACATTGTCTTTGACAAAGCCATCGTTTGTTATGGGGCTTGGACCCAAGATGGTGAGGGTAGAAAATCGAGTTACATTGCGGAATGTGTTGCGCAAACTTCTGAGGCAGCAGAATTGGGTAGAAGCAAGTGGAGTACTGAGCATGTTACTGAAAGGGACTTTGCGGGATAGATCTCCTATTAAGAATCGATTGAAGTATTTGGTAAAATACACCCCCATACTCTTTTATATCTCTGTTTCTTTCATTGATTGGTATTCAATTTTGAAAAACTATGCATATTTCTAATGGAAAAGTAGGTGAAGGGATTAGAAACATGATATGTGGAAAATATGCTTGCTGTGGACGATTTAAATTTTGTGGTTCTTGCATCCTAATTACAGACCAATCTTTCTTGTTCATAGAATAGACCACGAACTTTGTGTAACTTAAATATTTGAACTTGTGCACTTAACATTTTAAATACTTCTGTGTATGCCTCAGATTAGAAACAGAGATAAGTGTAAAATGCTAGGGGAGGAAGGGATGCTCTGTCTTTGATAATGGATCTGCTTCATGAGGACCCTTAGAGTTAGGCATCCTGTCCCTTTCAGTTCTATGTTATTTCTTTATTCATAGGACGGTACCTGTTTTTTTATTTATTTATTTTATTTTATATATATATATATATATATATATATATATATATATATATAAGAAATTGATATCTTATGTATTATCTATCTAGGTTGGTGTAATGTGCATGTGCTTATTTACATATAATTCGTGTGGTGTATTTAGTTTTGGTGGTGCCCTAAACACTTGCATTTTATTCAACTTGTCATTTAGAGACTTCCAAGTTCCACATTAATATACCAAATAGATTCTTTTTACTGAATTTGACAAAAATCCTTTTTAGGCTTCTATGGAGCTTCTTAAGCATATAGAAGGTGATCGTATGAGACCAAATAGGATCAAGCACGTCTATGACAACTGGATGAGGAAGATTGGATCAATGAAGAATTGGCCAATTGAGGTATAGGTTGCAGAAACCTTCACTTGCATTTTATGCTGTCTTCAAGGGAACATTGCATTTTCCATGATGGTTTATCCTTTTTGCCTATTGTTGAAAAGGTTAAATAGATAATCACGAATCATCTACAAAAGCATTTAATCACTGTTATTCTTATTAAAGTAGGTTAATAAATAGTTAATGCTGTCCAATATGCTCGAAGTTTGAATGAAATAGAAGGAAGTGGGAGCTCAATGAGGTATGCAATCGAGTAAATTGTCTCAGTTTTCTCTGGTTTTACAACACACATAATTTTGTTTATCTATTCTTTTGTTGTTGACTATTTGGAGAGCTATTTGATTAGCTGTAATCTCATTGGTCGTTAGGTTGGAGTTCTACCTGTTGTTCTTACATTTTTCTTTGGTTATATAAAATGGGGGTTCCCCCTTTTCTTTTATACTTTTCACTATCTAGAAGACAATGCATATAAGATGAAGGACATTGTAATCTCCCCATATGAATTTTAAGGCCTGTTTTGTATGCAATCTGGATTCTATTTCTTATTTTCAGATTTATTGAATTAAATGGATTCAGCGAAAATCTATTCAGCATATTTGTTTTTTAAAACAATTTTTGAGTTATGTGATCCAAATAGTGAAAATTTTGAAAATAACATTTTTATGTTTTTTTTTTTCAGGTTTAATTGGAAACTTTAAAATGCAAAATTACATTAAGAAAATAAAATAATAAATATTCTATTTTATATTATAAACTTATTTCAATTTTTTTAAAAAATAAAACATGTAAAATAATAATTATACAAAATTTATAACATATATGTTAATAAATTAATTAATAATATTTTAGATTGAACTGAATATTTAGTTGGTAACTATCACTAGTTTACAAATGTATTACTAAACACACCTTGAACAATTTATAAAATTGAAATTCAATTTTCAAATCTGGTACCAAACACATATTTGAAAACATTAAAAACATGGAAATGCATATATGTTTTCATTGAATCCCTTGTTTTTCAGATTTCTGTTTTAAGATCATCAACCAAACGCACCCTCAGTTTTTCATCAAAGATGCCTCGAACCACTTATATTACTCTGGAATGAATCATCTAATTTGCTGTCAAGCAAGACTAAGACTTCCAAGGGAAAGTTCCTTGAAAGTGAACAATCTCAAAAAGAATTTGTCAGAGCTTGTGAATGAGCTATAAAAATAGAGTGGTTTGCCAAATTCTCCTGACAAAGAACACACGAAGAGAAGGATAGGCAAATACTGGGATTACATTTTGAATAATGAAACATGGCTATGTCCTTGAGGAGACAGCTGACGAGAAATTGGTCTATCATATACATGTTTCATTTAGACATATCTCATATTTGTCCTGACACTACCCTCTTGCTTATTCCGAGATTTTCATGGTTTTGCAGGATAGATTTATGGTCCATGTAGAATTCATTCTTTTCTGCCTTGAAGAAGGAAACACGGAGGATGCACATCAGGCTGCTTTATGGTATGGTATTCAAACTGGCCGTATAATTTGTGTACTTGTGGCATGATTGCAATTTTTTCTTTATCTTCCAAAATCTTATTTGGTTTAGAAGTTAAAATGGATGTTGAAACCATATTAGTTTTTAGCCATATCATTTATCCACTTGGAGGTGCCTTCAATTTTGTGACTTTATGTAATGGTTGAAAAGTGTATCCATTCATGCTCAACAACCATTTCCACTTAAAACGGAAAGAGACCAGTACGTGAATATATGATACAAATTTTGGAGTGTTTATCTAGAGTTGGCTTATATAGGAACATATGGTTAGGTGCCAAGGAATAACCTAGAAATGAAAGGCTTTAGTCAAACTAATTATGATAATTTTCTTTTGGTCAGCCTCATGCAGGAGCATGATTCTGTGAATGATCCAATGTCAAATATGATTATAGGATTGACATTTCGTCAGTTGTGGTTCTCTACCATTCCAGAAGAGATACAGTGGAGGGACTCACTCCAGTTTCATTCCCCAATTCAATTAGATAGGATGATTTCAAACTCATTTGGGTGTTCTGTCAGCAACTCTCATGGAGATGGTGCCCCATATCAGAGTAATTCAGAGACTTCTGTCATGAATGATAAATTAGTTCATGTTGATAGTGAGGGACACCGAGAAACTTCTATTGAGGTTGATCGTGACCTAAAAGTGGAAAATCATCCCCAAAACTTTGAGGCACATGACTTTTACATGAGTTCGGCAGAAAAGAATGAAAACGAAGCCTCTCTCTCAGATAATGGAGGTTATCAGCACTATGTTTCAATTTTTTCTGCTCTTGGTGAGTTTAAGATTACATGATTATCAAATCTTCTCTATTTATCATTCTAGTAATAATTGGATTCCTTAGTCTGAAGAAAAATCTCGTGCTATTCATTTATTTATTTATCTAGGTTATCTAAGCATGTGACAGTGTTAAATAGGTTATGTCTGTTCCTTGTTCGTTCTGTATAGTTGTGTTGCTAATATTTTGGTTTATACATATATATATATAAATTCTATACTTTGCTTTGTTATATAACTATGATACTTGCATGCATATGACCTTCTGAGCAAATGAGCATCAAAGAGCTTGTAAATTGAGTATCCATGACCTAATTATTATTCTGATCTGTGATAATTTATATTGCTACTGAAGAAAGCAATTTTTTACATATGCGATCTTCTGTACATAATAATAATTTTAGCCCCTAAATTAACATCTGTTCTCTCTTCTCATAAAAACAAAACATCTATTCTCTCTAAAAAATTTTATGCCTATTTAATGCTTTGAAAATGTCAGTTGATTTACGATTACAAGTTAACTAAATTTATCCTTGTTGTATGTTGCCACAGAGGGTTTGGATCCACTATTGTTGCCTCTTCATTTACCACATTCTATTGATAATTGGGAGAATGCCATTAGTTTATGCGGCGAATTTCTGAATGGCTATTATAAGGACGCAGTGAAGCACTTAGACCTTGCTCTTAACTCAAATCCTCCAATATTGGTTGCCTTACTTCCTCTAATACAGGTAAAGCAAACTGTATTCCTTTTAGATGATTCTTTGATAACATTTGGTATCTTATAGGTTAACACACTGGAATTACAATTCTCAGTATCTGATATGTATTTTTTTATTTTTTTTTGGATAAGAAACATCAAAAAGGTATATTGAAGAGGGGAAGATCCCCAAAAAGATACAGCCAAAAGAGGGTGGAGAAAACCCTCCCCTCAAAACTATACAATCAATGCTTTCCAATCTTGGAGAATAAGCTGGATGCTGTAATTACAAAAAAACTTTTTGTGGGAAACACTCCACCATGAAGCAACATTCTTAATATTCATACAAAAAGAATCCACCGAAAACGATGTGTTTTCAAATATCCGGCTGTTTCTCTCCTTCCATAAGAGCCAAATAATAGCACGAGCAGCACAATTCCATAAGACACTAGCTTTTCCTTTCAACATAGCACCCCCGAAAACCTCAGCAATAAAATCATCAATTTTCCTAGGAAGACATGAGGAAAGGTCTAGTTGAGAAGCAATAAAAGACCAGCCACTTGTAGCATAAGAACAATGGAGGAAGAGATGATCCACCGTTTCTTCATTTCTAAGACACAGACTACAAACTGAAGGGGAGAGGTTCCATGTAGGACATTTCCTTTGCAGCTTATCTGCTGTATTAATGCTTCTGTTAAAAAGGTTCCAAAGGAAGAACTTGACCTTCTTTGGAACTCTAAAGTTCCAAATCTGGTTTGCCATGGCTGAGCTTAATTTAGGTGAAGGTGAGGTAATGGCCATGAACATGGATCTAACTGTGAACAACCCCAGAGTTTTCCACTTTCCTCATTAATCTGTCTCTGCCCTGCCCAATGACTACTCCCCCAATCTTTTCGGTAAAGACTCCCCATCTGTTTATCTTCCTATCAAAAAAGTTTCTTCTGAGACCCAAATCCCAAGTAGAAGATTCAGCCGACCAGCACTCTGCTATTGAAGAATTTCTCTTTAAAGAAAGAGTATAAAGATCCGGAAAGGAGGTAGCGAGGGGAACACTGTCAATCCAAGGATCCTCCCAAAAACGCACAGAAGTTCCAGACGAGACCTTAAAGAGGGAAAACTTGGTAAAATCCCTCCGCAAGCCTTGGATATCAATCCAAGGTCTCCCCACAGATGAACCGATGGCAACCTTAGGCAGCCAACCAAAGGACTCCTCTCCATAAATAGCTGCCATGACTTTCCTTCAGAAACTATCCCTCTCCAAAGCAAAACGCCAGAGCCATTTTATAAGCAGAGCCTTGTTCCTCTTAGCCAACGAACCAATACCAAGGCCTCCCTTTTCATGAGGAAGAGCTGCCCACTGCCATTTCACCAGATTTCCAATAGGTCTTGAAGAACCCCCATTCTATATAAAGTCCCTCAGCAATTTTTCCATCGAATTCACCACTGTCATTGGCGCTTTAAGAATAGACATGAAGTAGATAGGAATACTATTGAGAACAGATTGGGCAGGTGTGAGCCTTCCTCCCTTAGAGATCAGCAAAGACTTCCATTTTTGTAATCTCTTATGCATCTTATCAAGAACCGGGTCCCAAAAAGAGGCAGTCTTGTGATTACCTCCCAAAGGAAAGCCCAAATAGGAGAAAGGAAGAGAATCTGATTTGCATCCGAAAACAGAGGTCCAACTATCCACTCCCGTCGGAGAGCAGTTAACTCCAACCACTGCCGTTTTGGAGATGTTCAAATAGAGACCAGAAGCCAGCAGAAACACATTTATTATACCCCACCAATTTCCAACATTTGAGAAGAATGAGGGCAAAAAACCAGGACGTCGTCGGCATATTGGAGATGAGTAACCTCTATTGAACTTGAGTCAAAGGAGAAGCCTCTAAGGATATTCTTCTCAGAACAAAATTGAATCAATCTACTTAGAGCATCTCCAACTATAGTAAAGAGGAAAGGGGAGAGGGAATCCCCTTGCCTAAGCCCTCTTCTGGTATACATTTTACCTCTAGGTCTTCCATTTATCAACACCGAAAAATTGGTTGTGGACAGACAACCCCAAATCCACTTACGCCATCGAACTCCAAAGCCTTTGGCTCGAAGAGCTCCATCTAGAAAATTCCAATCGGCTTTATCGAGCCGATTTTAACTTTTCATGATAATTTGGTATCTTATTTGCTTACTAATTTCTCTCCTTCTCTGCATGATATTTGGTTCTTATAGCTACACTTAATGTTGCCTTTGCTTGGAAATAGGAGGAACACATAATATGGAGGTTCATTTGATTGTACTTTCCATTATTCCAATATCCAGTTCACTATTTTATTGTCCACTTCAATAAAATAAAAAAGGTATATGTGGAGGATCCAACAGATCGCTTACTCAAAATCCCAAGGCAAGTTACCTGATTTTACTGCTGCCACCCTGAAAACTCTAGGACGGACTTTCAACGATTGATCTACCACCCAAAGGTCCCCTCATTACTTGTTTCTGCTTCCATATTTTAAGATTATGGATAAGCAACCCTTGGATCCATTTGCTTCATTTGCCACAAGATTGGAATCTATTATTTTTATCTGTCTTCCAGATACTTCAGCCAGAAGAAAATGTGATTTAGATCCTCCTAATTTTGGCAAGTACATCGTACCTATCAGAGGACAAACATCAGGGGTCTTTGGACTGTACTAGCAACCACAAGAGCAACTTAATTTTTTTTTTTTATACTTTTTCAAATGGCCTTAGAAGTTAGATATCGTTAACAGGAGTTTTAAAACTAGGTGCTTAAGGAAGGAAACCATGTAGAGAAGAGATGGGACGAGTCTGAAATTCACATCAATGAGTATGTGAGAACTAAATGAAACGTTTTGAAGAGTCTTCATCACCAAGAGCCTCTTTCCCAACTCATCATCAGTTAAATCTTTTAGAATTGGATATTCCTTGCCATGATGGCTTCTGCAATGTTGAGTCGGACAAAATTTGTAGCTAGCCACATTGTAGAGTTACCAACTCAGTTAATTTTCCAGGGTAAAAATTAAATATTTCTGGAAAAAAATGTTGAATGGAATGTAAATTGATAGATGGCGGTTAACATACTTCGAGTAATTTTGGAAATCTCCTTGTGCCAAGCTCAATACAAACCATGTTCATCACAGAATTGCATGTTTCCCTCACAGTACCTTTCCTTAATTTATAATACTCCAACCCACAGCCAACAAACTCCTCTATCACATTTCGCCCTCTAACAAACCAATCAACTTATAAGGTCAATCTATAGTTCTCTATTTACTATCTCAATAACTAATTTGACTATCAAACTGTTACCTGGTATAATAAATAACTGCTCTTTTTAGCGCTGAAGATGCTATATTTCTCCCTAGAAGCCTGCAAGTGTCTTTTTGCTAAAATGACCTTTCTGAAAAAGTGTTTGTGCTCTCTTTCTTCTGCATTATGTCGTTTCTAATCCAAACATTCATTGAATAGGGCCAGGATGTTTATGTTATGGTATGTACGGCTAAGTAGTCTATTAATAGTGCAGTATGGTCAACTTTTTATTTCGTAAGTGCAACCCTCCTTTCATTATAAATGAATCATCTAATCTTCTTTTAATACTCTTCATCATCTGGATGGGGAAAGAGGTATTTTCTTCACCCTCCTTTTGTGTCTATACTTCTACTGGATGATTGGAAAATGAAAAATGAAAGGATCAGGTGCTGCTTTGAAAACTTTCGTCTTTTAGTATTACCTAATTCATTGTCATGTTTGTAATTTTTCCTGTCATCTGCTCTCAAATTGGGATAATGATCATTCACATCATCGATTTCTTCTACATGCTCATTTGGTGTACAAATTTCAGTTGTTGTTAATTGGAGGTCGAGTTGACAAAGCTCTCAAAGAAGTGGAAAAAATCTGTCATGATTCAAATGCAGCACTTCCCTTCAGGTACTAAAATCTGCTCAAAGCGATTTGTACTCTATCTTGCATTTAGGGGTCGAAATTGAATATTTAAGAAATCATATGCAGAAGAGATTGGGAACTTCCTAGATAGGAACACAATAGTAAAAGTGCACAATCTCACATTCTCTTCTGCTGTACCATGCAGAAAGCTAATATGTTTGTTCCCAATACTAATTTCCATTTGAATTTGGGAACTGAAATCATTTACTTGATGTTGATTTTCAACAAATGAAACATTTTGATGATTAGAAATTTTGCGAAGGTTGCAGGCTCTTACCTATAATAATGACTGATTTAGATATTCTGCAGATTGAGAGCTGCACTTGTAGAACATTTTGATCGAAGTAACGATGTCTTGCTTTCATCTTGTTATGAGCAAATATTGAAGAAGGATCCAACTTGTTGCCATTCATTGGGAAAACTTGTTGACATGCATCGAAATGGTATGTTAACTGCCGAAAACGGTCTTCTTTACATATCATTAGAATTAAGGAGAGGTACAAATTTGAGAATCTGAGATTATAATTAATGGTTGAATTCCTCACAGCTCACATCATAGATACTTCTTCTAGTGCTTGGTATCAGGAAATGATAGTTTTGAATGTAAAGGTTATCTTTTAAAATCATGTATAATTGGTTTCATTATTCAAATGTCACTTCTTTTCCTTTCTTTCTTCATCCCAGTCAGTTGTTTGTAGAAAACTCGATTTAACATGAACGCACAGAGTCACCATTGTGACTGTTCAACTACTGAGAAATGAACTCCTGGTTGAGAGTTTTAAAATTTTTTCTCACCTTGACTGAATTTACATTAAACATTTTTAATATTCATATGAAAACAAAGCCCCCAAAGTGCTACCTAGTTAATAAGGGCTTGGGGTCTCTTGGTCATACTGGCTTAATGGTCTCAGGTTAGAACCTTCTGATGAGCTTAATACCAAAAACCTTTAATGTCTCCCAGGTCCAGGCCTTGGGGAGGGCACGGGTGCCCCTAGGTATGGGAGAGCAAAGCTCCGACTTCCAATTATAATAAAATTAAAAAATTAAAAAATCATATGAAAACAACATAAATTATTTCATGAAAAATGATAATATCTTCACATTAACGTGGCTGTTGTTTATGATGTGTGATGAAGATAGTCTGCTTGCCTGTGATACGATATAATTACTTGAAAATTTGTCATTGAGCTTTGCTTTTTTGTTGAATTCATATTCTTATTGAAATTGCAGGCAATTACACTCTTGAGTCTCTATTGGAAATGATAGTGTTGCATTTAGATGATGGTACCTGTGTAGAATATGATAAATGGAGAGAGTTGGCTTTGTGTTTTCTGAAACTTTCTCAATCTGAAGAGGATAGAGTATCGACAGCATGTTCAATTGGGACTGGTGAACATAACCTGATGTCCTCATTTAATATAAACAGTAACCTTAAGTTGTTGACCGAAAAGAAATCGAGAAACACTTGGAGATTGCGTTGTCGATGGTGGTCAACACGACATTTCAGCCATAAAATAGCATCAGAGACTTTAGATGGTACGTTCACTGTGAAAAGTCTTCAACCTCTTACTTCCTGTGCTGTGATGTTCAGTTCTTATGCTGCTGTTTGGTTCAAATAATTAAGTGACAATGCAAACCAAGGGGCAAGGGCTAAATTAGTATGATTTTAGAGTACTACTCACCCTATATATTTTCATAGGTTACTGTGGTCTTTAGAGTTTTAATATTATGTGGATCCTTGTAGAAAGACTGCCTCATTTCATGAAAATTAACTGTGACGGTAGAGTATGTAAAAAAAGGTAAAAACGGATTTTAGAAAAATAACCAGTCCAAATTCCAATTAAGAAGCTGTCAATCAATAGGGTGAAAGTCTCGTCTTTAAGATTAATAGGATTCGAACATGTATACATTACACTCTATGATTTATATGATGGTTGCTTTGTCTCAGTCAGTACAAATTAGAAAAATATTTACCCGTGAAAAAAAAGTAAAATTTTTTTTTAACTTTGGTATATATGCAACAGGTAATTTGGAGCTTTTGACTTACAAAGCAGCATGCGCATGCCATATGTATGGAAGCAACTTCAAATATGTGGTAGAGGTTTACAGCCTTTTAGAAAAGCAGACTGATAGGGACTTGTTCTTGTTCTTAAAGAAGCACAAACTGAATTCATTTGGACTCCAAGCTAAACTATAATCTTTTGCATTTTTCTTTATGCACAATCATATTCATACTTCAATTTATTTTTGTTTACGTTTGCCTAGTTTAAGCATCCCATCCCATTTGAGACACAATTTCACCCCTTTACAAAAGATTTGGATCTTTTGGAGTGAGTAAAGGTTCTAGTATGGATTTGGAAAAGCAAGGTAGAAATTGATCTAGCAATGGTTTTTTTTTTCTTTTTTTTTTAGTACCTTGGATTCGATCTCACGACATTTTAGTCAGAGATAGATACTTTAACCAATTGAGCTATTAGGTTGACATTGATCTAGCAACCTTCATCACATCTTGTCTTGTCTCTTGTACTTTTATATTTTATTTTGATGTCTAACTCAAACTTTGTCCCACCAAATTGAGGCATGACTTTACTTAGGAATATCGATCTCCTAATTGAGGCATGATTGTGCTTAGGAATATCATCTCTTGTTTTTTTTCAATCAAATGATTTTTCTATGCTACTTTTTCAATCGAGGTTTGGTGTGATTGGGGAAACAAGAAATTTACCATTTTCCTTTTTAATCCTTTTAACTTTCGAAACCTAAATTTTGATCCTTGATTTCTCAATCTATTTCTATTCTGATCCCTCAATCTTAATAAATTCTATTTATTATTATAGTAAAAGGTGATGGTTGACTTGATTAACTTGTGATTTTTTATTGTCACTAACTTAAAAGAATCGCACCGTTGAATCAAAGTTCACAACTAAAGATTATAATAAGTTCAATGGTTAAGATCTGAACAAAAAATTGTGGGTTCGAACTTCAATCTGTACGTTTTGTTGTATCCAAAAAAAGAACTTAGTTGCTCAAGAAGGTTTTCTTTTTCTTTTTTTCATATTTGAAATGGTTTTTTAATTAATAAAAAAACAACTCGCTCTAAATATAAGTAGAGTTAGATTACAAGACTAGTCTCTAATTTAAGGTCATGTCTAATAGTTTATTGAATTTTAAAATGTAATTAATATGTAGTTTATTGAACTTTAAAATGTGATTAATTGTTTAAAATTTGAATTTTGTATCTAATAAGACAATGAAATTTGTATTGTCTAATAGATGTTTGAAAAAGTTTGTAATGGGTTCTTTAGGGATGGCAACAGGGCGGGGCGGGACCGGGGGCCATCCCCATCCCCGCCCCGTTGGGAATTTTTCCCCATCCTCACCCGTCCCCGAAATTTTGGGGTGGGGATTCCCCGATCGGGGACGGATTCCCCGTGGGGCCCATTATAACTATATTTTTTAAAATTTTTAAAATTTTAAATTAATTTTTGTTATTATTAGTATAAAAAGTGAAGAAAAAAAAGTGGCTAAAGAGGTATTAGCTTGGGGGCGGGTGGACCGATCCCCGTCCCCGCCGGGGAACCCGATTGGGATCCCCGATTTGACCCCGTCCCCGGTCAAATCGAGGAATCCCCGACCCGATCGAGTCGGATATCTGCGGAGATCGAGTCCCGCTGGTATTTTTGCCATCCCTAGTTCCTGAGCATTTAATTTTGTGTTTAATAGGTCATTGACTTATTATAAATTTTTTTTTTAAATTCATGGACCTACTAGATATAAAATTAAGATGTCAGAGTTCTTAGTCGATGTATTTTAAAGAATGTCAAATGATCATAAATATAATCATAAATTGAAAGAACGTATTAGATAAAAAAAGTTGAAAGAACCTATTTGACACTTTTCAAAATTCAAGCTCCTATTAAAAATAATCATAAACGTTCATAAACTAAAATTGTAATTTTCTTTATTTAAATTATTTATTAAAGGGATGATTTGTTCGTACATAAACTTTTCCTTAATAGTTTCAAAAGTCATAAGTACCAAAATTAAATTTTAAAAGCAAAAATGGATAAAATTTCAAAGAGACGATGTATATATTTTTATTCATTTAAATAAAAGACATATATCATGTATTGATTATGTGCCCTACTTCTACTAATGCATTTAAAATCATTTTATTTTTAAAAAGTACATTAAAAATAATTCCTCGACACAAAATGTGTATACAAAATTTTATAGTACAAATTAAAAATTAAACAAAAAAAACAAGAAATAAATTACCGGTATTAAAATAAAAAATATAATGTTTTTCTTTCATTAACAAAACTATATTATTTTTAAAAAATACATTAAAAATAAAACCACAAACACAAATTAGAAAAAGAGAAAGATTAAAATCTATTCAATAGGACTTGCTTGATAGCATTTTGTTTGTTAATCCTAGTTTCTAATTTCTAAAAGACATAAAAGCATAATCAAGTTTATTATTTCTGGTTTTTTTCAAAAACATAAATAAAAATATTATTTTTTATTCTTGACTTATGAAATTTATAATAAATATAACATAAAAATTTTTAATATTAAATTTTAAAATTATTTTAATTAAAAATTATAGAGAAAAATAAATAAAAAATGACTACCAAATATGTTTCTTTTTTTTTCAAAAATAAAATAATAAACAACAAACAGTTTTTTTTCCCAAGGCAGGAACGATAAATAGTTACCCAATACAATTCTTTTTTTAATTATTAAAATGATGAAAAAGTAACAAGCAACATAAACACTGCCCTAAAATTCTCATTTCTTGTTTTCTATTTTTAAAAGAAAAAAACACAAATGTGTCTAATAAAATTTCCCACCATTCTTAATGGAAAAAAAGTCATTTGAAAACCTTTTCACACTTCTTGTTCTCTTGAACAGTTCCCATTTACAGAGTGAGCATCAAATCAAATCACATTATCCTGCAAAGAAGACCCATAATCTTCCAAATTCATCCACCAGTGCCAATGTTACATAATTGAACAATGTGCCTTTAATTACCAATTCAGTACACAGCACAGAGAATCAAGAAAACAAGTCTGTACAATGTTTTTTGTTTTTTATAAATACAACAGGATCCATATTCTGGAAGCCAACAAATAAATGAGCTGGACAGTTACTTTTTAAGTCATATATATATAGAGAGAGATATATATATTTTTATATGCAAGTACATATACAAAAGTCAACAAAAGATCAGCTAACTGCATTCATAGATAGATGGAGTTGTAAGGAACAACATACAGAGCTGCTTGTTTTAAACAGTGCTCTGTTTGTTTGTCATCGTTCCTTTCTATCCGTCGCCAATGCTTCCGATTTGCAGACGGGACAGACATTCTTGACGAGCAGCCATTTCTTTAAGCAACTCGCGTGGTACTCATGTCCACAATTGAGCGTTCCAACTTTCTCCCGGTTCTGATAGTGGTCCTGTAAACCGATGTTGCTTCGTATGAGGACCAAACTTGAAAGATGAAACTCGGAAGTAAGCATGCAAATATGGAGAGACTATTTATTTTTACCTGGCAGATGATACAGTAATCGGCATCCTGGTCCAAACTTGAACCCTCTTCCTCCAGATTAACAACTGTTGCAGATGATACGTAGCTCCTTGTTTTTAATTGAGTTTTAATGATTTCCTCTGTTAACCCAGTGCTGACGTTACCAATTCGCTCCCCTAAAGCGAGAAGTTCCTGCATAAACACCCTTTCTTGTGTTAGAGCTTTAAATAGACAGTGATTTATTATGTACCCTGTATTCGTCTAAATCGATTCAATCTCCATATTTAATCAACAAAATCAATTCATTCTAGCAGCTAACTACCACAATTATAAATATGGGACACAGTGACCTGCCATCTTTCAAAAACTCAAGATATTAACACAAGGTCTAGCGTTTTCAAGGCGAGAGGCGACAAGGAGGGCAGCTTCCCTAAGACGGGGGGCTCACCATCTTCACCTTTCTTCAATCTTGGCGTCTTCCTTCGTCAACTTCAGCCTTCAATTTTTTAGTTCAGCAATTTCTTTCTTCTTTGGTCTCTAACCCTTGCTTTTGCTTCCTTCAACTTCAGCCTTCATCTATTTAGCTCAACAATTCCTTTCTTTCTTTTAGTTCGGCTATTTCATCCTTCTTTGTTCTTCAATCATGGCTTCTCCTTCCGTCTTTGCCTTCAAGTTCAGCCGATGATTTTATCCCAGCGTTTGATCACTCAAATTTCAGCCATTTTTCTGCCCTTCTTTTGCAGAAGCTTCTGCTCTTCAACTTTCTGACTCCATTGATTTTCTATAACAGGACATCTGCTTATGGTATCTTCTTATTTATTTCTTGTTCCCCATAATTTTAAAATCATCTTGATATCATGCTTGGGGATAGTGGATTGTGGACCCTCCAATTCTTTTTACAAAATTTTCTTATCATTCTTCTATTCCTTTCCCATGTAATCTAGTTTTCTTACAAGTTCTCACTATATATAATATCATGAATTTTTTTTTTCTTTTGGATAAATAACAGCTCTTCCATTGAGATAAATGAATAAAGACTACAATAAGAGGGCATACAAAAAAATAGCCCAGCAAAAGGAAACCCCAAAAGAAACGGGCTCCAATCCAAAAGTATGACTCCTAACTGATAATTACAAAAAGCCTTAGTGACCGATCCCCATAGAGAAGTGTTAAATCTAATAAGATCGCATACATAATCCACAGATCTCTCCACTCCCCTAAAAATTATATTGTTTCCCTCCTGCCAAATACCCCATAGGGTAGCCAAAAAACACGCTTGCTAAAGAAAACGTCCTTTGTCTCGAAACGGGGGGAATAACAATATTTCCTCCATCATCGCCCTACAATCCCTAGAACAGGCCCAAACAATCCCAAAACATCTAAAGAAACGAAGTCATAACTCCTATGCGAACTGACAAGACCACAACAAATTATCAAGATCCTCCGAAGCATTCCTACACAGAACACACCACTGCGGACTCAAACAAAGGGAGGACATCCTCTAGATCCAATCCAAGGTATTAACTTTTTCAAGTAAGACTTGCCACCCAAAGAACTTAATCTTCTTTGGAATTTTAATCTTCCAAAGCGAGGTGAACCAAGGGGTCAACAGGGACGGAGAAGAAGAAGAGGATGATGAGGAGTCCAGGACATGGAAAAATGAGCTACAAGAAAAACCTTTCGAAGGATTGGGGGTCCACACCCTCACATCATCCCTCCCAACAAATAATATCATGAATTTATTTATTCAAGTGTGCCTCGCTTCGCCCCGGCAATTCCTTTTGATCACCTTTTGCCGTTAGGTGATCAAAAGACTTGTCCAATAGAAGTGCGTCGTGCGCTTTTAAATCGCTAACAAGGCCATATTTACTAAAATTTCTATACTTTAAGGTTTAAATCCTATTTGGCTCCCTAAATTTTCACATTTATTCTATTTTGGTTCCTACCTCGAGGAGCAAAAACCATATTAGTCCTAGATATTTATTTTCTAATTAGACATATGACATCAGTACATTTTTTTGTTCATCTACTTTATCAATTAATACATGAAATTTTTATAAATGAATTTAAATAGGGACTAAAATAGTTTTTCATGCCAACTTGGGGACTAAAACAGAGCAAGACAGTTGAGAGATCAAAGCAAAACAAAGTATGAAAGTTCAAGACCGAAATAGAATTTAAACTTATTTTAAAACATATTCCAACAATTTTGGTAAAGTTTGGACTTTGTATACAAGAAACTAAGAGAATAAAAATACACATATTTACAAGTAGTTGAAGAATGATAACTACATATTCCTAGTTATGTAATGTCTTAAAACAAAGAGTTTGAAGGGGGAAAGAATCCAATGCCTAATAATCATTTATCTAAATACTTCAAGTTATATTCTTCAAGAAACGAGTATAATTTTGTTAATTGAAAATGTGTTACATTTACCTCACATGTTTCTTATGTCTACATGCTAAAAATAATAATAATAAAGCTCAAAGATTAGACAAATATGGAGTGCCAGTGTATTCGTTTCGATTTAAAAAATATGATCAATAACGCACCTCGTAAGACATATCCTCTATATCCAATCGCATGTCCCTGTGATGGTCAACAAAATTCCCCACTTCGTAGAATTCCGGAATCTCCAATAATGCAACTTCCTGTAAATACCAGTTTGCTCATTTCTTAAGCTACTTCTGACAATGGGGTATTAAAAAAAAAAAAGTGGTATGCCAGGGGAAAGAGATATTACATCAGTCTGCAAGAATCTCAACTGAGGAACATTATGATGTCTAGTTGTAGTGTCAGCAGCAACATTCGCTCGTGGAAGCCAGTGCAGCCCGTGACCGGTAGGTGGAACTGGTCCTGGTTGCCTACGCCCTATCTCCAAACTATGAGGATTCATGGTGGCATATGAAGAATTCAAAGGAAATCCATATGAAGCTGCTGTCATTTGGGGGTAGAACTGGAAATTGTGGCCTCTAATTCTTTGCACAACTGCAGATGGATGATTATGAATGTGGTGGCCATGGTTAACTGAAGGATGTTGGACATTTCTAGAACTCCGGTTCCCCGCCGTTTCATGATATCTATGCACACCCAAATTCATGGTTTCCAACAAACCTCCATTTGTATTAGTTCCTGTAAGAGATTTCAAAATTCAGTAATGTATATATGCATTTCCTTAATTTGGCTCAGAACCATTAAAGATTGAGGTGTTGTTTGGGAATGACGTAAAAACATAATCCTACACTTAAAAAGAAAGAAAGAAGAAAAGAAAAAATAAAAAAATAACCACCTTCAAATGTTCTCAAAAACAACAAGAAAACAGAGACAACAACCCACAGACAGCATAGGAATTCCTTTTTCAAATACCTAGAAAATACATCCAAATTACCAAGTAGCACCTAAAATAAAATTTTAACATAAATAGCCACCACTCAAATACCTTCTAATTCTATGTTCTATTCATGACCACTAAAAAAGGGCACAACAAAGGAAGTTAGAAAGAAATTTCATCCCAAAAACAGCATGCTGCGAAAAAAATTCTGTCCAACAGAACATGACGAACACTAATGCAAGAGAGCTAATTCAAAACGAGAATAGATATTGGAAAATATACCGTGCATGAAAGGTGGGGTAGACGTCTGGTTCCAAGATGAAGCACTTCCGTTTCCACAATTAGCCTGTAAGTGTTGGTCCAACCAGAAACTAGAATTAGCGGGCTGAAGGTGTTGACCCCTATTATTTCCTAGAGTTGAATGATTGTGTTCGGGTGGTAGAAGAGAGTCCCGCCTAGTTCCACCTGATGCAGCTCTAACACTACTCCGCGGTCCATTCCATCTACTCTGAGGCAGGGGAAAAGATGATGCTTCCACCATAGCAACCTCGTCAGGATGCCTTGAATTCGACAAATGCACAGAAGAACTAGAGCTGGCCACACCATTCATGTGTTGAATGTTCCCAGGAATCCCTTCTGTTATTTTTCTCTTACGCGGATCACTAACTTCATCCACAAAATATGAATTCCTTCCATAACCATCAGAAGACGTTTGAATGACTCCATAATTGCTAGAAGATGGCAACTGCTCGGACACGTTATGATTTAGAGGTGCAGGTAACATCCCATTACTTGATGGCGGTGTAACGTAAGAGTAATAATAGTTTCCAGGGGCTGCAGTACTCAAACCTAGACTGTGATGATGCTGAACGCTACCATACTGATTTAAACCATGTAACATGGAGCCATCATAAGGATCGGGTAGATAATGGGCCTCGGGATTCCCAGAAGCTGTTACCATTGAATGAATACTATGCTGAGGGAAGTTAGATGGGCCTGGCATAATGATGGAAGGCTCAGCATGAAGATAATTCTGACCTTGTCGATCCATTTCCATATCGACCATCTGACTAGTGCGCGGTATTCTCTGCCTCATGTTGGTTATGAAATTAAATGATAGAGGAAATTTATCTGCTCAGGGACCCAAAAAATAATGTTAAAAAAAAAACTTGTACTGGAAGAAATGATAAAGCACATATTGAAAGAAAGAGAGAAAAAATCATTATAAAAAATTGGACAACTTAATATTGTGCTGAACATCTTCACTTTAATCAAATAAAAAAGTTCTTGAAGAAAAAAACTCTCAGCGAAAATAATAGCAGGGAAAAAACTATACCCAACATCAGCTCAAACTATATAAAAACGAAAAGAGGGGAAGGGGAAGAAAAGACATCACAAGAAAAAGGAAACACGAAGGATGCACATCATTGCCATGACTTTAACATCCAAATAATTAATGCCCATTTGAAAAGGGAATTATAGATCGACACAAAATACTATACTTCTCAAGGTTCAATGAAAAAATATTTCATATCCAGCATGTTGAAAAATGAATTTACTAATGAAATATAATTTTCAAAAAATGCAAAGATTTTTTGAAAAAATATCTTAAAACCTTCAACGAGTCCAAAGAATTATAAGTGGCAAATACAGTCTGAAATCAACAATTACTAAGATTAAATTCTCATAAACTGAGATTACAAGGTTAAAAATCAGGCAAATTGTAAAAGTTATTGGTTCATAAAGGAACATAATTGGTGGAGGCAAGCACATCTATTGCTAAAAAAACTAAGGGTGAATAGAAATACAATGCCAAAAGAAATCAAGGGATAAGTGAGCCAGCACATCTATTATTCGTAAGAAAAGTGTAGAGATCATATATGATGGCTCAACACAAGATAATGCTTCGTAAAATAAAGAAATAAAGGATGCCTGTCTTGAAAACAAGAAAAAAAGAACGAAAGAAAAAACAAAAATGAACTTGTGAACAAGGATCTGGACTGATGAAATATAAGCAGATAGAAGTGGATAACAAGGACAAAAAACAATATATTTATTTAAAATTTCCTACTTCAAATCCAAGTTGCAGAGAGTCCTCTTTTACTATAGTACTAGCGCCCTCTTTGCAGAATTTCAGACCAATACTAAATGACAGTAAAAAGAGGAAAAAAGAGATCTCCTCTTACTAAACCCTCAAAGCATAAATTTGACAACAGACAAAAAAAAACAACTAAAAGATGTGATACCCACCCAAGGTCAACATACCGGTTACCCACATCTACCGAGTAGCCACCAGTCACGTAAGAAACTCCAGAAGTAATCTTTGCATTTAAATATCAAGGTAACCAACTAAAGCATAAAAATAAACTTAGTCCACCCATTCAAAACCCTGTATAGAATCTGATATCATAGATATTCCCTTCTACAGCCAAGTAGTATATGATCTCTTAGGGAATTTCGTAACACTGAGATTAATAAGTGATCATGATCCAAAAAGGTATCAGCAGAAACAAAAACAAAAACAAAAAAGAAGAAAAGAGGGAAAAAAAATATAAGGGAAAACTTCACTTGGGTCAAGGTACTTTGTTCAGTAAGTCTGAGCTTTCTGTTCTATTAACCTGCCTCTTTCATAAAGAAAATGTTGTATATTGCCATTCCTAACATCGAGATTCCAATCATCCAGGCGAATACAGACCACCACATAAGGGAAATTTCTAAGCAATCAAGAGCACAAAAGATGCAAAGAATAATATGAACCAGAACCGCAGCCCAAAAGATGCAAAGTTTCAAGTTTTCAAGGCGGGTAAGAGAACGCGTCAAAAATCAATTGACGAAGGTTCAATCCTTTTACTTCTAAATCAATGGCTTCAGTATTCTCCCTATAAACGTGCTGCTAACAGAACCAACAAATATTTTTTTTCAAAAGTTCAAAACACCGCTTCAGTTTATAATCATTTCGCACTTGAGAAAACCGAAAGAAACTAGATCGCAAAGTTTCGCGAATTCCTTCGCTATTCTTCAACGGCTCCCACAATCCAACGAGAAAAAAACCAATTTCCAAGGAAAAAACCGAAAAGAAAAAAGATAAAGAACAAAAAAAAGGCACTCCCAAGACAAAATCAGGTACCTTGGAGTCATGAACAAATTAAATGATCAAACGCGTCTAATCCTGAAAGATGATTACAGCCGACAAATACCCAGAACGAACACCAGCGATGCCTGAAAAAATCAAAAGAAAAAAACCAAATTCCATAATCAAAATCGACACCCAGAAAAGGGGTCGCAATCAATTCTCCAAAATTAACAAAATACATCACATTACCGATGGAAACGAACCCTAAAGCTCAAAATTAAACAACAATCAAGACAAGAAATTGTGGGTATTGTTGAAAATCAGGAAGATAAATCCAAGTACGAAAGGGAACGGAAAGGGAACTGACCGGAGCCAAGATTGAATTTTTTTCCCTTTTTTCTGGGTTTCCTTTTTTCTTGAGAGAGAGAGAAGAGAGAGAGAAAGAAGAGAGAGAGATGAATGTCCTTTTTCTTTTATCGCTCGCTCTCCTCTAATTTCTGTGCATACATTATAACGAACACTTCCTTTCCTCTCTTTTTTTTCTTTTCTTTTTTTTTTTCTTTTTCTTTAAATTTTTTTTCCTCTCTTTAACCGTTAAATTGCTCTGTCCATGGGTTTTCTCTTTTTTTTTTCTTTTTTAATTAAAAAGAAAATCTAAATTTTACCTCGTGGTAAATTGTAAGGATGAATCAATTTTTATCCTAGTATTTTCTATTCCACCTCCAACTTGAATAGGACTTAGTTTGAAATTATCGTGGTCGTTAAAATAACTGGTGGTAAATCTACTTTCGGATAAATTGGTTATTATAAATTAAAAAAAAGTAGGTTACAGTTACAATATTTTGTAAATTAATATTATATCATTATAATTTTATTATAGTGAAAAAAAAGGTAGACAGGCATGCTATTTCAATTATTTTTAAGATGATTATTTAAATACTTTGATCTAAATTATAAATTACACTATTTATTTTAAATTGTTTAATAAAATATCAAGATTGTATATATAAAAAAAAATGAATTGACCCAATTTTAAATACAAAAAGAGAAGCATATAAAATGCAAAGGGAAAGATATAAGGAATGATGCAAGAAAGTTGATTTCAAAAATTTTGTGTGAGAGTAAAATATAAATTGATTTTATATAAATTAATAAATAATCAATTTTACGTAACAATGATTCAATTTTTTCTATATCTATTTTCGACGCAGACGTAACTTTAAATTAACGGTGTTTTAATTTACACTCACATGTCACGTCATTTATTGTAACTTTTTATTAGAGTCTCATGACACTCTACCTTATTGATTTAATTAGTTAAAGGATAAATTTTAGTCTTTTTTTTCCTTTAAGATTAAATATATAATTTACTCTTGATTTTTCATTATATTTTTAAAATTCTCTCTCAACTATTTTTAATGTTTCAACCTATCTAATACTACCGTTGAAATTAAATGAGGTATAAAATAATTCAATCAATTGACATCACACCTTAAAATTCAAATGTCATGCTTTCATCCTATTTTCAATATTGTTTACTATAAATTTGATTGTTTTTTATTTTTTTTGAAACATGGAATATGAAATTGTAATTTCTAGATTTTTTTTGTCCTGGTTTTTAGATTTTGACAAACATTTTTAAATTGTTAATTTTAAAATTTGAAAATATATTTTTTAAAACATTTTTGTTTTCATTTTTTAAGTTGGTTCAAAATCATATATTTTTCCCTAATAACACTAGTTACAAATATTTGTCTCCGTGACTTTTAAGTTTTTGTTGAAAATATATGTCAATTAATTATGTTGTCTTGGTCAGACTGAGATTTTTTATCATTTATCTCTCCCTCTCAAAATATTCTCAAAAGATAAGTTGAGAATAATGTATACTTAAGAAGAAAAATTGAAGGAAAAAAAGACAAGCTTTTTTTCTATTTTCTATTTTTACTATTAACATTATTTACTAAGAGTTGTTTTTCTTTGGTAGGTCATTCAAAGCGTTGTAAGGGTTGAAACCTGTCCAGCACCAATCGTGCCATTAGGACATCTTTAAATTAGGTCTAAAAGTTAAGCTAGCTTCATTTTAAACTAATCTATTATCATATTATAATTTGACACTCGAAGTTACTTATTTTAAGATCATTATTTCTTCAAAGTAAGTTAGTCGTGGTTCACAAAATTTATTTTTTTAGTATTAATCATAATTCATAAATTAAAAAGTTAAATACTTCATGTCTATTTGACAGTGATTTTTCTTTTTATGTTATGTTTTTTAAAATTAAATAAAAAACATATTTGTCAACCAGTCAAATTTTTAGTTACATAATATACTCGAAACTAATATTTTTAAACTCCCAACTAAAAAGCCGGAAAAATTAGTTTTCGAACACGTGTTTTTCTGTTTGAAATTTACTTGATATTTTTAAAAGTAAAAAAAGAAACAAATATTTGTCTGTAAGCCTCATTAATTCTAAAAAATAGAAAGCTAAAAACAAAATTATTTTTCAATAAGAACTTAAATTTTAAATATGTAAAATCTAAAAATTTTAGAATATAAATTTTAAAAGTAAATTGCAAGACAAAGATGTAAAAAAAAAAATGGTAAGACAAATAAATTAGTATAACAATATCAAAAGCGAGCATAATTCAGCTGTAATTGACCTATTTCATCTCTAAAATCGTATATTTTCTAGATCAAGATCTCATATTTGGCTTAAAAAATAAATGACTTAAAAGAAAGAGAAATGACGTAGAATCAAAAGGTAACAAAATGTCACCTTTTGAAGTTTATTTGCCGCATTGATAAATAATTTATCCATTTGATTCTTACCCTTTCTTCTTAATAATAAAAATGTACAATAAGCTTCAACCAAACTAAAGCATAATGGTAAATTGGCAGTATTATCCTCTATTGTTTATTGTTTCTAATTTTTAAAATTACAACTTGGTAGAAATGTTTACAAAATTGTGTAGAAACTTTGAAAACAATAAAATCAAAATTTCTTGTTTCTTCTTCTCATTTTTTGTTTTTTTTTTTTGTTTTTCAAGACATATATAAAAGCATTATTCTACTGGCTTACAAAATGCATATTAAATATTAAAAAAATATATATAAAAATTGAATATTTAAAATACAAATTTTATCTTTCTAATCTAAAATTTTACCAAACATGTTTCTGTTTTTTTTTTTTACTAAAAATGAAAGAGCAATAAACAATTGTCAAACACAGTTCTATTTCTATTTATTAAAAAAACAAGAAATAATAAATGAGAACGTTTCCAAACGGATCTTAAACTTAAAAAAAAATACCGAGAGAAAAGACTAAAGCTGTATAAAAATATGGAGACTGAAATTATAACTAAACCTAGTATTTTTAATATCAATGCGAATAGTAAATAAAATATTCTGTATTTAATTAAAGAATTTTAAATGACAATATTTAGTTTGATATATGTTAAAAACTAAAAAATAATAAATTATTATTTGTGATTATTTTTATTGTTCAACAATTTCATATCATGTGAATCCATTATGCACTTGTTGGGTCAAACATTAAATAATAATAATAATAATAATAACATTTAGTTAAAATCCATAGACATATTTTTCTAAAATATCATTTTAATAATGATAAAGTTTACTTAAATGTGAAAAGTACCATCAAATAAAAGTTTTCCAAAAACGTGGACTTAGTTCTCGCTGCAACCTTATTTATTATGTTAATATTTTTGTGTAACCTAATCTTTCATAAGTCACATCACTTTTCAAATTTAATTTAATTTATTACAAATTAAAAATTCAATATCAAACGAAGAAATCTATTCTAGACACATATTTTGGCATATAAAAAAAATTATTTTTAATCTATAATTTAATAGAAATCTAATACATACGCTTATTTGATTCATATTCCTACTTAATCAATCCATGTCGATTAAGTATTTGAAACCGCACGTAGTAAGGTAGATATCTAGTTTCTAAATGGATTTAACTTTTTTCTATAAATGAATAATAGAAAATTCATAACAATTGAGTTTTGTCGATATGCAAGCTTTCATCACCATTAAACAAAAAAAAAAGTAAGCAAATTTTTTCCGGATGAAATTTTTTCGTTGCCAATTTTGTCACGGTAAAACGATCGGGAGAGTCTATTACCAAAAAAGTGTTCTTTTGTCGGCATTAGGCCTGTTATGCCCACAATTTTGTCATTCGTTGTCAAGGTTAACATTTGTCGACAAAATAAAAAAGAAAAGGTATTTAAAAATTCAGAGACCAAAATGATTGAAAGTGTACCAAAATTCGTAGTAATCTTTGAAAGTTTAATAACTTAAATGAAATTTATATAAAAATTCATGTACCAAATTAGTATTTTACTTTATTTTATACCATCTATATATTTGATTTTTTTTTTCTGGATTAGATTTCATCCACCGATCTCAAGGAAAAAAGTAGATAATTTTTATCGTGAGATATATGATCGTACGATATCTCATCTATATCTAATTTAATAATGAGATAGATTATACATTAATTTAGTAGTAAAAAAAAAGAAATTTGGGGGATAATTTAATTTATATTTCAACAAATGAGATCAACACACATCACATTTATCAACAAATTTGGTCAATATTTTTCTTTAAGGACACAAGTGGGATTAAATTAGGTATTAATTAGGTGCCAACCAAACCGTGACACGTGGAATTGGGCAAAAAGGTGTGGGTGAGCGAAAGATAACCCAATCTCGAACCAACAAAAAATAAAAAAATAAAAGAGAGAGAGAGAGAATCATAGGGATTAAAATTTTAATTTGGGGTTAATCACTGTTGACCAAAACCATAGTGAATTAAATGAATTGGTATTATAATGTGATGAACTTTTCCCCATGTGACCCAAAAATAAGTAAATATTTTTTAATATATCAGTCATAGTTTTAGGTCTAGCTAACTACAACACTAGGAAACTAACTACCGAAAGAAATATGATGTATATTAATGTGTTGATTAAATGTGAAAGACTGTCTCATTAATTATCAGTTAGTGATTATTATGATTCACATAAATCAACGTTATATGTTAAGCAAACCACCATAGTATGGTTTGATCATTATTATAGTGGTCACAATGATGTTAATCAAAATGGATAAGATGCAAATCACCATCTTAAAGATTGGTAGTTCGATCTCCCATCTCATAATTGTTGACATAAAAAAATGTGGTCATTACAAAAATGAAAAAGTAAAAATATTATGGCCGATAGGTGAGCGTGTTCGAATCGAGACCTTAATTAAAAGAATGGTCAAAATATAATGACTGTCAATATAATTTAACATTTACATTTTTATTTTCTTTTTTGCAAA